CAACATTCTGGCTGATTCATCATAATGAATTTTTACTGAAGTTTTTTTGTCGATTTCATACGGCCGCATTTGCGGCGAAACTTAGAAGCTATTAATATTGTTAAACGAAAATGTTGTTAAAAATTACGTTGTAATTTTAGATGATTGAAATTTGCACACATACCAAACTAAAGTTTTTTCTCAGCGCCCATTAAATGCGTTCTAATATTACAGAGACACCTGATAATTGCCTACAGTCGTAAAATTTCATTTTAGTATTGCACAAACATATACTAAAATAGACACATTAATTCATTCGCTGAAAAGTTATTACATAGTCATAAAATACTCAGCGGCAGTCGAGAAATCAATGCAGCCCACTAAAACATTAAGGTGAACCTCTTTTTGGTCACTGGAAATCCATATCTTACAATTTTGGTTAAGGTTCTCCTCCTAGAATAGAAACTCGTTTATATAATTGCAGAGCTACCATGCCTGGTTACCTTAACCCGCAACCAGTGGTTGGTTAACCGCCTGGTAGCAGGATTTAAAAGTTTCATTTTTACCAAGTTCCGATTAGCAGACGTCGGATCAATTTGATCACTGTGAATCTGTGCATACTCTAATTTTTGTTTAACACTCTTAGAACTGTTTCTGTACAGATAACAATCAGTAGGTAATTATGATTAGATATTAATTGGAAATTATAGAAAACAGAATTATTGTGTCAGGATGGATTAATAACGCAGGCAGAAGTAGACCCACATTAACCATCAGCTAATAGTAAGTATTTGCCATGAACAAATGAACAATATCTTATGTAAGTTGAGTGAACATTTCTCAGGATTTTGTTTGAGTCAAGAAAAATGACCCATACGATAATTTCGCGCAAACGGTTCGATATCTACCCTTGTGCACAAGTACGCTCGGTTATGAAAAATAGAATTAGAAACCGATCGTACGTATTTGTTTTGTTTGCGGTGTTTGTAGTACTTATATGTTTATATCGGTATTTATTTGGCACAGGTTAAAGAATCCGGTTGGTGGGGCTGGGGCTCTATTCTGTAACTGTGAGTTTTCAAGTGTACACTGCAAATTGTGTGCACTCTTCATTTTGCGATTCAGGAAGAGTGAGAATGTGTTTTAGTTGTCAAATTTGGGAAAACTTCCTTATTTTGCGATTCGGCATGTGTGAGAATGAGTTTTAACTGTCAAAATTGTGTACACTTCTCTTCAGAAAAACTCACTGAATTTTAATCGGTGAGTTTTTGGTTGTGAGTTTTGCACTCGGTGTACACTACATTTTCTCATAGTTACAAAACGAATTGCTCTAGAATCGAGATATTCTGGAATACACATTTTTTTACTTTTGTGTTTTTCATAAAATATTTCACATTACTTGCCCGGCGCCTTTGGCTGGTTAAGGTCGGTACTGTCTATATACTACTTATGTAATACAGACTTGAAAAAGATTCATATACAGATCAAAATTTTCTATTTCAAAAGTGTGTACAGAAATATTCTCCTGCTGTTCACTATTTACCCAGCGGAGACTGAATACAACACGAAATGGCATTCCTCCTAAACATAAAGTATTACTGATTACTTTACACATTTTTCAATAGTATTTCAGGAAAACACAAATGTATTCCCGAAAATACCAAATATACTTCAGAAAAACCCGATTGAGATTAAAAAAAACAAATTTTTTTCAGAAAAATTCAGTTGTAACTTTACAAACAGTTTTCATAGCCACTTTAAATAAATAATCTTACAATTCAGTACAGTTTTGAATTAAAGATAAGAATCGGCATGGATTCATACATCTATGTGTGCAAAAAAAATACACATTTGGAATTAGCATTCGAGTAGTATACATAGTTTTGTCCGTCTGTGCATAATTTTATACGATTATATCCAAGGCGAATTTATACAAGGTGGTGTTATTGGCGAATTTAGATTGTAAACAAGGCGAACCCATTTAACAACAAACACATCATTTTGACATTCAGAAGGACCGCGGCGAAAATCTAAATTCGCCAGTAACACCACCTTGTATAAATTCGCCTTGATTATATCCAGCAATGGAACTCAAGACAATTTTACGATTTGTAGAATCGATATGCGGAGAAAAGCCGTGGTTCGCCTGCATCCATGTGGGCATTTCCTTCACCAGGATTGCACTGGGCCGATCATTGACTTAAATAAGTGCCCCATATGTAGAGGAGATATGTCAGGTACGTATGCGTTAATGTGAAAAAATTTGCACATTATAATTGTAAATATTGTATGTGTTAAATCTTATATGTTAACAATAAACTGTATATACTTGGGTATAGTCAGTCAGGTTATAGAGTCAGAACAGAGGAGGGGGTAATGAAAAAAAAAATTAACAGACCACCAGGTAGCTTCGATGGTACATTGGGTAGAAGAAAGCGCTACAATTACCCTGAAGAATTTAGCTTCCGAAGTTCAAGCAGAATTTCGTAAGAATTTTTGCACATCAACTGCTGCGAAATATTTAGATGGAAAAATGTATACCCGTTCATCAAATGCCTGTGACCATGAACTATCCGGAAAATAAGCAAAAGAGATCAGAATTCGTAACGGCGTTGACGGAGTACATTCAGCAAGGAAAACCAGTTGTATATATGTAGACGGGACAAATTTTAATTTGTTTTGCCGCAGAGAGGTCCCTCTCGGTCTGGTACGCGAGCATTCTTGTCGTTAGCACCATCAAGGGGACCCAAAGTCCACTTCTTTGGGAAGCTCCTAGATAAGTGGACAAGCCTGGGTAACACATTGTCAGACCTGGTATTGATGTGCAACAATGCACTCTGTCATACTGGGCTTGAGCAATTAGTTGGCAGTAGCGGTTCACCCACTCTTTTGCGCTTGGGTCCATACTCCCCGAATGAAAAAATCACTCCTTCGTTTCTGTATACTTCTATAAACAATTTGTCTGGAACCGTATTCAACAAATTTACGACGACGACGGAAAAAATCGAAAAAAAGTCTGGCTGGCTATCTATTAGTTTAAGGTTTTCACGCTCCCATAACAAATCTCTTATCTCGTCATGCACTCATTTGAAACTACGCACATGCACTTCGCGCAAACAGGGGCAAGGGAATCCGATTTTTTACTGCTATATTAATGACGCATTGAGTGCCGTAATAATCATCGCATCAACACGCATTGGAGGACTGTTTAATTTTATGTTGTTGCTGTTATTGAGATGATGCCTAAATTGATCGTAGTATCTAGTTTCTGCCAATTGGGCATTTTGTTTCGCTGATCATTTATTGCTGTTGTTGGTAAGCGTAGCTATTTTAACAACTTTATTACGAACAACCAATTAAACCCTATCGAGTTGAGTTACACACAGTATTTATGTACATATGTACATACGTACTTATATGTTCATTTGTATAGAGGGGTGAAAATCTGAGATGAAGGAGGAAACAGCAGAGAAATACACCAAGCAATACAGAGAACCGGTTTTTCGCTTTAAGCAATATCTTTCCATCTACCATTCACTAAATGATAGAGCCATTAATGTTGAGGTACATGTCACTAGCGAATTTATGCTCGAGATGAAATAGAGGTTATAATTTCGGAGTAACTGTGCGCTGATAAAAGTAGTACTCGTATATTTGTATACTTTGATATGTATATGTAAAAGATTGTCGTATGTTACGCAAGAACGTATGACGCTTACGACAATCTTTTACACAGGCGACGATTTGTATTCGATTTGCTTCGTTCATAAAATTCACAAGTTCGAAGGAATTAAAAAAAAGGCGTGAGTACTAGGTATTCATGAAATTTGATGTGTAAACATATGCGAACGACAAAGTATAAAAGTACGTTTACATATAAATATAATCTGAATCAAAGCTCGTTAGCTGTCAAATTGGTTGTGCTTGTTATTCTCACAACTCGAGGAAAAGTTACGCTTTATCTCTGTGCCACTGTGGTAAATTTTTTCTGCTATACATACTATGATATTTAAATATATTTTAGCTTAATATTTTATTAAAAACACCTCTTTTCCTTGCTAACGTCAATTTCTGTTTACTTTTACATTTGAAATTCCTACTCTTCTTCGCAAGTATAATCAATAAAACTGGGTTGGACGCCAAAAAGTTATCGATTTAATCTGAGATAATTTTATAACTATAATTTTGTATGTCTAATCTTTTTTCTAATTACAGATTAGGGAGTCAAGCTCGAAAATGAGGATAATATTTTTATATGTAAACCTAGTAGGCGGATCACATAGATACATACTAGAGTGGTTCAAAAAATTTTTTTTTTTGGAAATTCATAAACGCTACCTCAAATTATTGTTATTTGTGATAAAAAAGATAAAGTTTTTTTAGAGGTCGCGCTGGTCGGTTTTTTATAAAAACGGTGATGTTCTCAATTTTTTTTTTATTTTCGTGACATGTTAAAATTCAGGTAAAAATGTGGTTTTTGCATATAATTACTCTGGTAGTAACTGGTCAAAAAACTGGATTGCTTCGTCTATAAGTTTTGAGACTCGTGGCGACAAGATGTTGCTAAGTTGGATTTAAAAAAATTTAGAAAAGTTTAGAGGTAATAGGAAAAAAAGTCAGCAATTTTATGCCGAAAAATTTAACAGCATCTCCACAAATTTAAGTGAACGGTACTCATGAATTGAATTTTGGCATTCTTGGTATTGTGTGATTCAGAGCAAAAATAAAATGATTTTAACTGTTTTAAAATGCATAACTTTATGATATATTGACTGTTTTGACACCTTGAAAACCCCCTTAGTAAATATATTATCCGCCCTGAGGAATGCAACAAACTTATATTAAATAAAAGTTCCCAAATACACGGTTAGTATCAGTAGAGTTAAGAATATTTCAGCTGCTGTACAGTGTAATTTATTGCGGAAATCCCAAATGGAAAAGCTTTTTTACTACCGAACTTATTTCATAGTTATTCTCGACTTCTCAAATAAATAACAATTTTCGGCGTCTGCGTGTTTAGTGCTCATTATAACTTGAAACTGAGCTGACACTCGGAATCAGAAGCAGCATCTGAGATGACGAAAGCAGGTAATTCAAGAAGCTTATTTATAGTCAAGTATATACATATGTATGTGTTTGTTTAACTCACCTTTTATTTATTCAATCAGTTTTACTGCTTACCATTTTATTGCAACTGCGATGGGCCCGTAGTTTCGATAGCCACAGTCGCTTCGAATTTGCTGCAAACTTTTTCAAAACAACTACAACAGGCCAGCCATATGAAAATCTCATCGTTTCTCCAGTATCGGTGCAGGCCTGCCTAGCGATGACGTACCTGGGCGCGGTTGGTCAAACTGCAGCTGAGATGCGAAAAGTGCTCGCTTTGGAAAATTTCCCCAGCAAAGAGCATGTGGCTTATGATTTTTGGGAATTCCTGCAAGAAACCGTCAAGTCACCACAAAGTAAACTCGAAATGGCTAATCGCATTTATATAGACAACCGCCTACAATTGCTGCCGGCTTACAATGAGCTCATCAATCTATATTTTCAAACGACAGTGGCACCTGTGAACTTCACGAGCCGGGAAAAAACAGTGCGCAATATTAATGAGTGGGTCAAGAGAGAGACTCATGGGAAAATACAAAGTGTAATTAGCCCAGCTGAGTTGACAAGCGACACAAGAATGGTGTTGGCGAGTGCTATCTACTTTAAAGCTGAGTGGTTGTACCCCTTCGATCCAAAAGTCACAATTCCAAGAGATTTTAATTTAAATTCGGTAGAGAAAATAAAGGTGCCGATGATGTATCGGACGGATGTGAAGATACGCTACGGTGAGATAACCGAGCTCGATCTGGTGGCCGCCGAGTTACCTTACAAAGGCACAGCACTGCGTATGTTAATACTAATGCCTAATCAGTTGGATGATGGAGTGTCGAGATTAGAGCGGGTGCTCAGTGCTAGCACATTACAATATGTGCAGCGTTCGCTGAGCGAAGTGAAATTGGATATAGTGATGCCAAAGTTCAGAATTGAATCGGATTTGAGGTTGATTGAGTCGCTGAAGGCGGTGAGTGTTCGAATTGCCACTAGCGATGAGCATAAAATTTGTTACTCATTAATCGCACTGCCTTACTAATTCTTTATTTTCATATCTTTAATACTCAGATGGGTTTAAATTCAATATTTTATGATGCTGAGCTTACCGATATGGTATCTGGAGAAGCGGTGAGACCACTTCGTGTGTCAGAGGTCAAACATAAAGCCTATATATCTGTGGATGAGAGGGGCTCTGAGGCATCGGGTGCCATATGTAAGTGTGACGTCCAAACTCCAATAACAATTTTGATTTCTCGCCCAAAATGTATGTACATATGTATGTATTTACTCTTTCGTATTTTTCTCACAGACTCGCAAATATTAGAGAAGTCAGGGCGTTTCTTCGAGCCTAACTTGAACATCGATCGGCCTTTTGTGTTTGCCATAATGGACGATAAAGCAGTCTACTTCATCGGTCATGTGCTGAAATTCTAAAATGATTTATTGCTTTGAACGCGTTGAAATGGCGCCAACTGCATACTGAGCGACTGTTGTGGTCTAGTCAAAGCGAAAATTTAAAATTTCACGCCGAACAATATTCCCTAGCATGGTGATCTAACTCGCATAACAAATGAGCGAACAGAGAATTATAAAATAAAAAAATTAAGAAATCATAAAAAATTAAAATCAAGCATTGATTGACTTTGATTTCTTGTTGATTGCTCACCAACCAGTAGAAATTTTTAACAAATTGACGTTGATCATTTATTATTGCAAATGCAACAACAACAAACCATCGTACAACAATCCATTAGCGTGGAGCATGTGTGGTGGGTGCGAATCGACTATTCGCTCCCAGTAGGAAATTGCTAACAATTAGCGTACTTAAACTTTACATTTTTCGGTTTTTATAAAACTAGGAGTACCAGTTATTGTGGAAGTTCGAAGTTTTTCTAGTTTTTTAAGACCCTTGGAAATGTTTTCTAACTTATTTTATTACCGGATCTCCTGCTTTGGAACTAAAACATGACTAAAATTTTTTATACATCTTTGGAGGTCTTTGGATGACTTTGGCAAGACTTGCAATTGGCCCGAAACATTCCAGTTTGTCGATAAATTTCGATAATTTGATACATATCGATAATTCATTGCATTTCAAAAACACTAAAATCCGTTAACTCAACAAAATTCGAGAACTTGACTAACTCCCATAACTTTCGAAAAATTTCAATAAATGTGCTAAGTTTCGATAGCTTAAAAATTTATATATCTCGCCATAAATCGATAATTCGATAAACTTTGCATATCTATATAAATTTCGATAACTCTGTTAATTTTTATTGCACCATATTTTCCGAAAGCTATCGAAAAATTTCGATAACTCGTTAAACTCTGGTAATACGATAAAATCCAATAAGCAGTTGTAACTCGATAACTTATTTGACCTTGAAATTTCGATAGCTCGATATATTGTGAAAATTCCAAAATCTTCTTTTCAATAAATCGAAAACTTTCAGTAAATCAATAAATATCGATAACTCGATAAGTTGTAAGAACTCGATGAATTACGAAAACTCGATAAATTTCGCTAAACTTATAATTAACGATAATTCTATAAATATTGGTAACTTGGTAAATTTTTTTAGCTCGATTAGTATTCGTAAATTTCGACAACTAATTTGTTTTCTTCGGCTGCGACATTGCCTCTGTATTTGCTTTGCCTTTGTCTTTCTTATTCTTAATATTAATATTAATCTTGATTGTAAACTTGAAGCTTATCTTAATGTACATCTGAAACATAATTTTAATTAACATTTCAATTCTTATATTAATCTTAATCTTAAGCCTTTCCTTAATCCAAATCCTAATCCTAATCTTAACATGAATCTTTATCTTCATTACCACTTACATATTATATCCTGTTTATCATTACCATTCTCTTAATCTTCACCAAATGGTGAATGTCCGTAAGTGTTGGGCGAACTGTTGCAGAACGCCTTCAGTGTCGAGGTGCCTAGCCGAAAAAAAATTTAGACTGAATTGCAATTCGATAAAAGCCGTCAAGGCTCTCTTCCCAAGAGGAACCAAAAGCGGTTTTAGTGAAATGGAGATAAATTTTTGGGCGTCATTTCAGACGTAAAGCGTACCAGGCAGCGCAACGTTAAAGACCTGGCTAGTAAGTGAGCTGGCGATCTCTGCGTCTGTAAAACAACTATAGGCCTGAAAGGGACTCTCAAAACCTCACATAGTGCACTGGATTTATAAAGCCGTTGAATATCCTATTTTATCTAATGGCCTCAGAGTTCAATAATTCTAAACTCTCCATAAGAATATATGCTAATCACGGGAATGCTGTCGTCCGGGCCTACCAGAGCCCAAGTCAACTTAATTAACATTCTTACCATAGACTTTGTTTTTAATTTCAAGGAAGCTTTAACACTATTAGATTGAATGCATTGCCACTAATCCTAAAGATACACCAATATTCTCCAACCAACCAATTACTCCTACATTATGAAACGAGCAAATTCAAACTGTGACACAACCAGACCACTGGGCCTAAGTGTGCCTCTCCCCTTTACTGCATGCACGCAACCACTTCCACCTACACCAGCTTAACTACTATTCGGCAAGACCCAGGAGCGCACAATATCCGTTTACCTATATGTTTCTAAGAGCGGTTGAAACTTGTGTTTTTCCTACATGGCTGCAATGGTGCTGCGTCGTATGTTGCTTGGAGGTTCTATGGATGCACATATGTATGTACCAATTACCAATTTACCGGTTGATAGTGTTTGACTGATTTGTCAGGGTGATCTTCACTTTGTGTACATATTAATATGTATATCGTCGTTTAAAGTACAAAACCGCGTATCAAGAAAATGTAAAACCGCGTATGTGAGGGTGCATAAATTATTTTATAGAGAGTAAAAACAGTCATATTTCAAAAAGGGTATCCTTTTTATAAAGCAATCGCATTTCTGGCTAGTATATTTCAGGACGAATGGATAAGGATTGAGCCAAGAGCTCGTGTAAGCAAGCGGGTTTGCAAAATAACGATACGCGGTTTTGTACTTTAAACGACGATATGTGTAGATATACTGTGTACCCATGCATAGGCGTGTACAGTAGAATCGTGGAAAAGTTAACTCGCGCAAAAGTTAATCGCTCGGCTAAGTTAACCGAATGTCAGCGTTCATGTACCGCTCTAAAAAGTTAAATTTTGGGTTGACTTTTCTGAGCTTATAAATTTTTCAAACCAACCATTTGTTTGGCATCAAAAACAAGCCCAAACTCAATTTGTTTACGGGTATTCCCCGAATTTATTTTTGTCGTGAGCGTTTGAATTTGTGAGTTTTGTATTGTTTGTATGTTTATAAGATGGCAACAAAGCAGAAAAAGTCATCGCAAATGGGATTAAATCTACACTAAAAAGTAATTAAAAAAAAAATCGATACGGTATCGATTGGCGTTGGATTATGGTGTATCTAAAGCAGTGGCGAGCACATATGCATGAAAAAGCAAACAAGAAAGCTCTCTTAAGCCAGAATTACCAGCATATTAAATCCAAGTTTATTTTCCGTAATGATGAAAACTAAGTAATTGAAATAAATTTGACATGTTATTTCCTAAAACTTCTTCGTTTATTATTATACTTTTGTTTTTTTGAAAACCGCTTCGAAAAGTTAATAATTCGAAAAAGTGAATAACCCTTGGGACATTTGGTTTAACTTTTTCGAGATTCAACTGTAGTAGTAAAAACCGGTCAATAAAACTATTAATCTTGTTCTAGCACTCACTCTAAAATTACAACTTTAATGCCAGGGATAGCAAAATTTTTTGGTGTTAGTATGTCGACTTGTATTTTTTGGTTAGGTTGTTTAAATAACTTTTTTTCCTGACCCCAGGTACTGGTAACGACTATGGAAATGCTTGTATCTAATCGACAGAATTAGAGCTAATGTATGTACGCACATAGTTGCTATTTATAGCTTACAATACTAGCAATGCTTGCAAAATTCCGTAGCGCTTTTAGCTGTGTTCTTCGAAAAAGTAATATCAGTTGATCGATGGAATGGTTAAAGCAAGAATTATACTTCGATATACATATGTATTTATATACCTACCAGTGCTGCCGCTGTCACTTCAATTGAAGTTTTTCACTTCACCTCCTTAGCAAGGCACTGTGTGTGGGTTCGTGTGTGTGTGCAAAGGTTTTGTAAGGGAGCTAAGGGAGTGTCAAAACTCTAATGTCACTAATGAGCAAACCTTTAATTATTGAATCACGGTTTTACTTCACCTTCCACTTATTATATTTTTCTCGAAAATAAATAAAAATTTCTTTGAAGTATTGGTTTATTTCACCAAAATCGAAAAATTCTTGTTAAGTAGAAGGTATGGCAAAGTAACTTTTCACTAAAAGGCACTAAAAAGACTTTATTAGGCGTCTTTTCCAATCTGAAATCGGTTATTTGGAAGAAATCATTTTGATTTTCATTTTCACATGAATATTTGTAAAGCGCACAAAAACGAATGGGTGGATAAAGTTTCATAATTATCTAGTAAATATTTGACAAAAATAACAATTGTATTTTAGTTTTCAGACATCTTCAATTTTATAGCAAGAATGAAACATTTAAGTGAACCTCGTGATTACGTTGTTGCTGTGTATCTGGTGATGACTTTGTTGCTGTGAATCACTAATCGATTAATTACATTTTAGTGTTAATATCACTAGTGAATTGTAATTCTTTATTTTCTTTCCTCAACGTTTGGGACATGGTGATTTTAAAGATGTTCCAGCACTAAATTTTTACCGGAACAAAATAAATTATAAATTAATAAAGGTTAAGGATTACTTTTATTGTGATAAAAGAATAATCGATTATCCATTCAAGCTATAAATAACCTAATCTAAAAACTCCACATCCCTAATTGTGCTTGAAATTCATCACTTCGATAATCACTTCACCCTTCCTCCCAAGTCACTCCGAAACCCTTCACTTCGCTCGAAAATTAGCAAACGGCAGCGCTGATACCTACATACAGTGACTCACACAAATGGCCACGTGTTGGAAATTTACTTGTTATTTTTCTCTAAAAATACCGTCTAAAACTTTAACCAAAACCATATTAATCAAAATATCAAACTTTATAGAAAATTTAGGAAAATTAAAAAAATTTTCATCAAAATTTAAAATTTTAATATGAATTTTTAGAACATTTTGGGGTCAACAGTTTTATAGCTCATACAATTTTAGTCTAATGAAGAGCAAGTTTCAAACGGCTGAAAATCCCGTTGATTTGTAAGATTTTTTTTGGTGACAGATTTTTCTTATGAAATAAAATGCGGGAGACCGTTAGCAACAAAATTTAAAAAAAAGTTAACGCCAGTTTTTGTAAAAAAAAGTCTCAAAAATCAACAGTTTTTTTAGCTACAACTGTATGGGCTACAAAACTGCATACCCAAAAATGTTCTAAAGATTGAGATTAAAAGGTTGACATTTTTATGAAATTTTGTATAGAGTGATTTCTATGCTTTTGGTTAAAGCTTGGGCAATATTTTTATAGAACAAAAAAAAAATTTACTCGAAATACGTATAAACATAAAAAAATACCCACGTGGTTACTTGTTTGAGTCACTGTAGATGCCAGCAGAATTCTCGTCC